CTATGGAAGATTATGGACGAGAACGGTTTTCCCGGGAAGCTGACCAGACTGATCACCCAACAAACATTGGAAGCTGAATAAGAGCTTATTCACGCAAAAATATGTTTCTTCAGCTAAAAAATAGCTTATTCAGCTCTTAACCAGTTCAAATTGTTTGTTGGGCAGGGCTACGATGGATGGTGTACAGTACTGCGTGAAGATATCGGGTGCGTTATCCGACTCGTTTGAAACTCGCAAAGGACTTCGACAAGGCGATGGTCTTTCCTGCCTCCTTCAACATTGCGCTGGAAGGTGTTATAAAAAAGGGGGGGTTTAACATACGGGGCACGATCTTCAATAAGTTCAGCCAGTTCATCTGCTTCGCTGACGACGTGGATATTGTCGGAAGAACGTTTCAAGTCGTTTCGGATCAGTACACCAGGCTGAAACGTGAAGCAGAAAAGGTTGGATCAAAGGTGAATACGTCGAAGACAAAGTATCTGTTAGCTGGAGGAACCGAGCGGGATAGGGTTCGCATAGGCAGAAGCGTGACAATCGACGGAGATGAGTTCGAGGTGGTGGATGAATTTGTGTACCTCGGATAATTGGTGACGTCGGATAACAACTGCAGCAGAGAAATTCGTCGGCGTATTATTGCCTGAAGCCGTGCTTACTACGGACTCCACAAGACGCTGAGGTCGGGTAACTTCACCTCCTTACTAAATGTACCATGTACAAGACGCTGATAAGACCGGTAGTTCTCTACGGGCACGAGACGTGGACGATGCTCGAGGAGGACCTGCAAGCACTGGGTGTTTTCGAACGACGAGTGCTTAGGACCATCTTTGGCGGGGTATGTGAGAACGGTGTATGGAGGCGAGCTGGCGCAACTCTATGGCTAACCCTGTATCCAGAAAGTTGCGAAAGCTGGACGGGTACGATGGGCGGGACACGTTTTAAGAATGCTGGACACAATCCCTCAAAAATGGTGTTTGCCTCGAATCCGGCCGGTACAAGACGAAGAGGAGCACAGCGAGCAAGGTGGTTAGACCAAGTGGAGCAGTATCTTGGAAGTGTGGGACGGTCAAGAAATTGAAAACAAGCAGCCACGGACCGAGTGAATTGACGTAACATTGTGATGCAGGTGCAATCCTGAGGGATGTCGGACCAGGATAAGTAAGTAAGTTGCGTTTATCTGTTACAGTATAATACTTTTCCCCATGTTAATACTAATTTAAATGTGTCAATTTATGTTTGAAGCTAGAAAATAAAAAGTAATGCCATACAGGTAACTCTAAGATCAGAAGGTCTCGAAGAAACTAGCTCAACTTTTTGACTCAGCTCTGGTACTCTCTTCGGTCCCAAGCTAATCGATTCACCCCTCGAAACATAGGAAAATCCACTAACCCCTCATTTTATCTGTCAAACTTTCATAGTGAATCAAAACAAACATAGTGTACACTGAAAATAAAATTTCGTTTATACAACGAAATCGCTCGTTTGTTCTACGAATTTATTTGTTGTTTTCTGCAACGAAATGGATTTGTACATTGTATGAAGCTAGTTTCGTTAGAACTGCCACACTCGCTATCGCACCTCCAACCAGCGGGCCACAAGTGTTGGTTGTGGAAACCGAAAAATGTGGAGTGTGTTAGTGAGGATGGGTCAACTTCATCATTGGCAGGAATAAATATGACAAAAAAAAATAAAAATAGCCTTCACACCGAACTCGACTCATGAACTTTGTGATCGTCAAATCTGTGCTTTATCCATAACTCTATCTGTGCTATGAGAAATAGTAAAGCTAAAGGCTAATAAGAAGCACTCATGGAACGGTTATTCGATTTCGCTTGCTTTTTCTGCTGCTTGCATTTACTTTTTTTTCTCTAACATAAAACCACCACGACGAGTAATTTGATTTATTGTGGTAGCTTGCATGTATTAGTCAAACCGACAATATTTTTAAAAATCTTTCAGCACTTTAGGAGACAATAAGTTGGTTTGATTGTACGAAGATGTATTTTTATATTATACGAATAAGGCGTAATATTTACATTGCGCCAGATGACAGGAAAAACGAATGTTTCGTACCATTTATAAAAGATGTGTTGTATGTACGATATTCGTTTTTACGGAACGGTTTTCAGAGAAATAACGAAAAAACATTTTCAGTGTAGTACTGGAATTTATACTAGAATGGGGTACGTTAGTCGATTTTCTTGGGACCAATAGGCTAGTCAAGTAGTGAACCAATTTAAAATCGTTAGTTTCGTATTGATTATTGGTAATACTTCCTGCACAATTCTCATTCAGTTCACTCAGCAGAATGCAATCGTAAAAGGTTCAGCATGCAAAAAATAATAAGTGAGGAATCATCTACACTACGACACTCAAAATCATTCAGTTCTGCGTTCATCGAAGAAAATAGAAGCAGGGTAGATAGTAGTATTAAATAAGCCTTAAGATACAATACCGACAACTCTCCATAACTCGATATTGAAGGGATGATATAGTTATAGAATTATCGACTTATAGAATCCATTTATGGAAGTTCTTAGTAGTTAATTTATAATATTTATAAAATACGCAATAGGGATGCCAGTTCTTGAAATTTAATTTGCCAAGATTTCAAAGGTTCTGGTCATTTCTGGATGTGGAACTTGGTCATTAGCCTATACTTAAATAAATGTTTACCTTATGTTTTTTTTTTAAGATTTTAAACACTTAGATATTTGTTCTGACTATTTGGACGTTCCAGAATCTTGAAAATTTCTCCATGTCCGGAAGATTTTTAAATAAACGTAATCTGAGTCTTGAAGAACTTTCATAATCTAGATCATAAAATTTTCTAAACATGAAATTTCAAAATGTTTTAATTTATTTTTCCAAATCTTGGATCTTGATTCTTTATTTTTGTTTAATATCTCGAAAAAAATATCTATGTTTCAATCAAACAGATACTCTTGGAAATCGTTACAGAATTTCTTCAGTGTATTCTGAAGAATTTTCTTGAATCATCTCTGAATACCCTCAGAGTACATCTTACACCTCTTTCTGTTATTTTTTTTATAATTTGCTCCATAAAACTCTTCAAAATCATCTGCAGAACACTATTTAAGTTCAATCTGCAATGTTCTTAAAATTATTAATAATTAATGCAGTATTACTTAGGAATTCCCCAGAGATTTCTCCAGAAAATTCACGTGGAGTTCTCCTCAGTATTCACTTTTGTTTTCTCCAGAAATTCCAATGGAATTTGGCTAGGACCTTTTATGTTTTGCTCAGGATTCCCATAAATGCTCCTCACAATTCCTTGGAACACTCCTTCTCCAAAAAATATCACTGAGTTTGCAATTCCCTTGAAATTCTTTGGAATCATCCTTGGAATTTAATTCCCACGGAATTTTCCTCTGAATTACCTTGAAATTCTTATTCTCAGAAGTTTAAATTAATTCAGGTTGTTTGAAAACCCATTCAAATTTAATGGGATTGGGTTTCACTCATCATCCCTGCCTTGACCAGACTGAAAAAGGTAATAGGTTCCAAGTTTGATAAATTACATTGAAAAAGTTTGAAGTGTGATGGTATGAACCTTTTAATATCGCCTGGTACAAAACATTGAATAATGTATCGTACATCTCCACCCAATTTGGTGTAAACACACTAATCGAGTCAGTACGGTTTTACCGAGGTTTTGAATTGCGGAACAGTTGGGTAAAAGTTAAAAAATCTGTCGAAAATTTATTAATGAGAATATTTGTTCTGAACTTGTACATACTTAGTTATGTTAACCCCATTTATTGATAGAAAATAAAATTGGTCGATTTCATTGATTCCTAACGGATAACGGTCATTTGAATTTTTACCGACTTTTAAAAAAATACTGACCCCTGTAAAAAAAATCTTAGTGTGAACGTTTACATACATCACATAGGTCTCCATCCCCACCGGTTTCCGAAATGATTACCTACTATATTCTATAATAACCATTCCTTGTTCGTACTTTCTGCATAATGAAAATTGCTAACAATGTTAAAAATTTCACATCTTCTGTCATTTTCATTGAACATAAACTCGTAGAAAAAGGCATACATAAATATTTCTAAAGCTCCAACACTCAGAAGCAAACACTGAGGAGCAAACTTGAATATGTGCTAACACCGCAGCATAAAAGCCCACCGCCCATCGTACCATAAACAAAAATGGCTTCGCATTGTAAATGCAGAATCCACACTGAAGCGACGTCGAGTCGAGTTGAGTCGAGCGACTGTCACCACACGAACACATCGACGCCCCGTTGCAAGTTTACTTTTAGCTCCCGTATGCATCCCTACTAAACTTACCTACACACTGACACTGACCGACCAAGTTGATCACCGCCTCCGAGACTTTCTGCTGTTCGAGACGAGAGAAGTGTTGTTGGGAGTTTTTGTTGAGGATACCAATCAACCTTTTTGTGTATACCTTCCCTCAGTCTTCGGTCGATGTGGTTTGTGGCAGCAGAGTAGTACCGAAGCGAGTGAGTGGAGTTATGGATTGATGTGAAGTTGTGCAAAATTTGTGCTTCAGTTCAACTTACAACTTTGTGTGAGGTTGTCGTCGTCGTCGTTGTCGTCTCGCGATCGCTTTCGGATTTTGGATACGGGTACGTCTCTGGCGATCCAAGTCGATTCGGTTTGGGACGGTGTGTATTCAGGTTGTGAGAAAAAGTTTTAGTTTTTCCTCCCCTCCAGCAAGGGTGAAAGAAAAAAAACATAAGGCCACTAACTTCAGCTGGCCAAGTAGTTTCATACGTAGTCGTGGTTGTCCTGTTTTCCTCGGTGTGTGATATTTTCTTGTTTTTCCTCTCCATCATTGTTGAGTTTCGTGAAGAAAATTTTGACAGTGCATTTTCCCGAGCAGAAAGAAAACTGTCAAGTGTGTACCGTGAGTGAAACAGAATTAAATTTGACAGTCGCATAACACAATAAAGCGAAGAGATTTCTTTTGTGTGTGGTGGAAAAGGGTGGAAGCATAACACAAAAAAAAAATATTTATGAAATTAGCTCTTCAAAAGTGAAACAGTTTTGAGTTTGAGAAAAAAAGAAAGAAACTAGTTGATGGATCTGTTGGGGCTGGTTCCAGTTTTCATTGATGGATAGCGAGCAAGCGAGGTGTCGAGCAGCGGTGAAGGGGAAGTGTTGCAGGTTTTAGAATAATAGTGGCGGAGGCGTGAATGTGTGAGTGTCTTGTTTCATAGCTGAAGAAAAAAAGTAAGCAACGAGAAGCCGAGCATAATATAGGACGGTGTTCGAATTGGTGAACTTCAGGTGAATTTTTAGTTTAGTTTTAAGCCTGGTACGCAGCTGAAAAGTAATGACGTTTTTACGTGCTACGGGATAGGACACGGAATGCTAAAGAAATTTCTTTTAATTAGCATTTCTTGATCCAGTACGCAGTTCAAAAGAAATCGGTAAAGGAAAGATCGATTACATTAGTATCGTGATCGATGTGAAGGTGGCGCATTCTGAATGCAATTTCATTTTCCTTGCGGAATAATGGTCTGACCAATTATTCCGTTAGGTAATTTTAACGTTTGTTGTAAAAATGATGTTTTGGATGCATTTTAACAGCATAAAAATTGATAATTGTTGATTTTAAAATTAGATGACACCTACCTATGAACTCAAAATTTAGCAAAAGACACCTCCCTATAGCTGTCAAATTTACTTTTGGGAATATTCCTCAAAAATTACTTTTCCGTTTTCTTTTCAGCTGCGTACCAGGCTTTATTGATGAAATCGGTACACTAAATATAGCAAGGGGCAAGACAATTGTGTCATTGTAACAATGATATCTCGCGTAACATTTGAATAGGGCCTATGATCAAAATGTAAACAAACCGATTTTTGATACCATTCTGTAGCACTGGTAATTAGCTACCAGTCGTATAGGAATGTTCCGCATTATCGATAAAAATCATTAAAAATAACTTGATTTTAAAAACGGCCGATCCACGAAATTTTTCCAATCATTCATGCTAAAACGGCCTAACCTCGGGCCTAACATATATTTTTTTTCGTTTGATGAGGTTCCATTCATAAGCCTAGCGACGTAGAAGGGCCGATGATTGAAAAATTTCAAATCAAAGCTAGGCCCTACTGCTTGAGGCAGGGCCGATGATTTATTTGACGTTAAGAAAAGGCTTAGCAAAGGGCCTACAATTTATGATGACAAGCACATCGGCTTAACAAAAAGGGCCTAACCATTTAAAGATTCACAAAAAGGCTTATTACTGTGATATTAAATTTTTATCGATTTTCATGTATTTTTGAAAACGTTTCGCATGTTTTGGATGTTGTGTACTGAGATATAGTTACTATTGTTATTGTGAACAATATAAATGTAAAAATACTTCAATTTATTTATATAGAAATTAAATACTGGCGGAAAAATTTACAATTCATTTTCTGGATTGTTTACATTTTGGACATAGGCCCTTTTCAAATGTTACGCGAGATATTTACTGTAAAAATATTGGACATTTTTGTGCATTATCATAAAATCACAACAAAAGTCATGGTTCACTACAATGAAAAACATGGGACACTCAGGTCTTTTTTTACACGGGGGATACGTACCGTGTAAAAAACAACCTACGAGATTTTGATTTTTCGCATGCTTAAATGTTTTAAAAAAATTGGATTTTGATGCCATTTGTAATGAAAGCATGATATGGTCCATATAGACATATTTTAAAAATTTCTGTATTTACACCAAAAATTGTGATTTTTTTTTAAGTATGCCATTCGATTACAAATAGCTTGAAACGGATAATGTGATTGGAATCAAGTCGATAGGTTGTATCGTTGTCGAGAAATCGTTAAAAACGTACCGTGTAAATCGTGGAAAACCGTGTAAAAAAACCGTGTAAAAAAACTGCGTAAAAAAAACCGTGTAAAAAAAGACTTCAGTGTATTTGAGAAATTTAGTGTAAAAAAATTTGGGTTGTTAAGCATCTTAACAATAAAAAAAAGTGATTTTTCTGGAACAAACTTGATCTCATCACACTAATTTGCATTGTTTGAACATTGTATCGTTCAAAATCGAAATTTATTTTTTCTCCCGTACAACAATTTAACAATAAATTTTAATGTACACGAAATTCAACAGTAAAAATCATTATAATTTCGTTGTTTTATTATAATTTTTTTTTCGGGCATATTTACTCAGAAATTAACAAATTAGTCTCGTATTTTTCATCATAAGAAGTTCTAGAAGCAACCACCGTCTGACAGAATGTTTTATTTAAATATTGTCAAATAATAGAAACTTTAGCATTTGGCGTCAGATTATCAACTTTAATATAGCATGATGTCCATGAAACGGCAATATTAAGTTTTCATTATTAAAAGATCCAAGTTACATTGATTTTGTAAAACTGTCACTAGAAACCTCCGTTGTTTCCCCTGATACTCTTAGAAAAAGACAGTTGAAAATTGTAATCAGAAACGGGTTAAATTTTCATCGCCTGGTGTTGTTGTGATGATCCACATTTAGCACAAATGGAACATTGACGAATACGGTATTTTATGTAGCTGTTCATCCCAAGTCACTATAGATTAGTTTTGGACAACTTCAGAGTTGATTCTATTCCGACACTTACATGAGCGATTGTCGAAGGGATGCAGCAATTCCTTCATCTCTCTTTTGTCATGCTACTTAGAATTGTTCTGAATCTTCCATTTAGGATGACTGTAGTCCTCCCTGAGAATGTCTGAAATCTCCCTGGAATTGTACGGAATCCTTTCTGGGATTGTTTGGGATCCTCTCTAGACTGTCATGAATGCCCCTCAATTTTTACTGAAATCGTCTTTTTGACTGTCCAGAATCCCTGTTTTGTTTGCCCGAAGTCCCCTCTGATATTGTCCGGAAGCCGTACTGAGAGTGTATGAAATCTTTTCTGATAATTGTCTGGAATCACCCCTAGGCTAGTTCAGAGTTCCTCCGTCATAAATCCCCTTTTCGATTGAATGGAATCCTTCCAGAGATTGTCTTCTAGGGATTGTCCAGAATCCCTCTGGGACTGTCCTGAATCCTTTTTGTGATTGTCCACCAGCATTCGTTGCTAATGTTTCGCAGCGTGCTATACGAAACTGCAATTACCTTTGCATTGCCGAAATATCTTCTCGGTTAAGCTTTAGTTTGCAATTACGCCCCTTTAAAATGTTGCCACTGAATTATCTTTGCTTGACAGCATCGGTTTCAACACAACAACCAGATTGCTATGCGTAAATGTTGTTGAGAAATGCGAGCTACTCAGAGTTACTCAAAATTAACTCCGATTATACTCATGATCGAAAGCTGTCTTGCAACAAGAAATACAGCGAATGTGGATGCAATTTTCAAATTCAAAATATATTAGGTGAATAGATTCTCTCGATACAATTTACCTGTTATGCAAAATTTCAAATTTAGTGATTTTATTAAACGAAGGAGAATTTTAAACTAAACTGTTCACGATTCAACATTTAACTCAGATTTCCAGAACATTTAATTCAAGGAATGAGTAACAACTTTGCCAAAAACTGTATCATGAATCCAGTTAGTTTTATTGAGATATTCGCTTTTGAATGCATATGAGCATACATTTCTACCCAAAACCCTATTCAGGCCAGCGAACCGGGAAATAACGAAGAATCTGATAAATAACCAGGAAAACCGGGAAAAAACGGGAATTCCATGGGATAATCGGGAAAAATCAATAATCCTTAGCATACGGTTAGTTAAATTAAAGGTTGCAATTTTTTATGGATCTTCAACTTTTTTATTGAGAATTTTGTTTCTATTTAAACTAATTTCTAATAGTCAATTCCCTTGCGTTTGACGTTTACACACTACCGCCATCTGTTCAGCGCACTACCCACCACAGTGTACTCAACAGATGGCGGTAATGTGTTATGTGTGTTATGTCCGTTGTGCAACACTCTGCATGAGAAAGCCTCGTACTGCGCTTCGATGAGGTTGACGATCTTATCAGGGACTCCCTTGGGTCTCAGAGCGCCCCACAAGTTTTCGTGGTTTAGTCGGTCGTAAGCTTCCTGCCTGCTGTCATCGGAGAGTCGCGTCGATCTTCTCTTGTATCCGATTGAGGATAACTTTACACAGAACTTTGAGAACAATACACAGTAACATGATGCCTCGCCAGTTGTCGCCTTACAGTTGGATCCCCCTTCTTGGGGACTTTTATCAAGACGCCCTGCATCCAGTCGGCCGGAAAAGTCGCGGTGTCCCAGATATTGACGAATAGTTGATGCAACATTTGTGAGGATAGCATGGGGTCAACTTCGAGCATCTCTGCTGATATGCGATCGACCCCCGGGGCTTTGTTGGACTTCATACTTCGGATGGCTGCTTCTATCTCCTGCAATGATGGAGCTTCAGTGTTGACGCGAGTAACGCGTCTCACCCTTGGCTGATCATGCCGAGATGTTGAGGGTTAGTTGACCGTAATGAATGCGGGCAGTTTATTCATAACCATGACAAAAAGAAGTGGACCCAGATGGCTTCGTTGCGGAACTCCTGAATGGCCGCCAACTGGATGTATAGTTGAGCACCTTGACATACTGTATCCTGTCTTGTAGATATGTTTTAATCCATTCAAACAACATTTCATTGATACCGAAAACAGCACGCACGAAACAATCTATACCCACCAAATCAAAGGCCTTGCTCATGGCCGTATATACACAGTCGACTATAAGGATATGTTATCCGTGACCATGGAACTGAATTCACACATGTTCGTGACGATTGACTTTCCTTTCAAACAAGTCGCTCAAACAGTTTTGGCATTGCGGATTGAATCGATACACCTGGTAGTTCTCAGCATCAGAAAGAGAGCGCTTCTTATGGATTGGAGTTACGTGTGAGATTTTCTATTGAGGCGGGAAATAACCAGACGAAAGCGATGAATTGAAAAGAATAGCCAGGGGTTCGACTAGTTCATCCTTGAATTCCTTCAAAGCTTATTTCTGTCTGGTCCTGCTGGCTTTCCTGAGTCTAGATCCGACAAACCTTGTATCACTTCTTCACGAGATAACTCTAATGAGTCAGCGGTTTCGTTGACTGGAGAATTGCTATTCACAAACTTTCTAAAAGATTTCGGATTTTTCTTTAATCCCATTCTGAATCCCAGTTATGTATAATTGATACGCTTCTCGGTGTTACACTTTGAACGTTCCCAGCGCATAGAGTATGATTGTAGTTGCTATGCAATTATACTAATGCAAAAATGGCATTAAAGCTCTCAATTAATAACTGTGGAAGTGCATCTAGAGCACGCAATAATCTAATATGCGATAAGCAATAAGCTTGAAGAAGAACACAGAAAAAATGTCTGAAATTTAACTGCCGCGTAAATTCTCCTCATTTAGCTTTCATTGGCATAAACATCGAATTCGGCTATCGAAAATCGAACCTCTGGGTTGGAGCGTCTTAGTGTAAATGCAAGAATGGTAAAGAGTTAAGTGCATTATGTGCTTAACTTAACCACTCAATCAATTAGAATCCAGGTCTTGCTACATGGGAGAATTCTTGATTGCTTGGAGTATCATGGCTATGATTCAATATTGAGTTAAAAGTTATTGCTATGCCTTGACTGCAAAGAGTGGCATTATTGAGTATTCTAGTCCTTCTTTGTATGCTTAAAAGCCTGGTCAGCTTAGATAGCTAGCTTCTCAGTGTAGCTGAAATAGAAGATTTTTGGATTCAATGAAGTCTCTATAATGGACGAATTATTTTCCTGAAAGTTGTTCAAAAAGATGCTTTTTCGGTCTCGAGCTACATTTTTGTTAGTCATTATTCAGAACATAAAAGTTCCTTGCGCCTTGCTCGGATTTATTTTTCAATTACTCCGAAATATTATGTGTTTCGGATTATTCTGATATTTTTCGGGAATTTCTTCTCAATTTCCGCAGCAGTTTCTTCAAACTTCTACTGAAAGATTACTCTGGCTTTCCCTGGAAGTGTATTCCATCTACTATTGTATATTTCCCGGAAGGTTCTTCCAATTTGAATCGCTTTTCAACTTTCCGTGGAAGCTAGTTAAAATATCCTTGGAAGGTTTCTTACAAATTGTGAAGTTTTCCAATACGTTGTCGCCATCATTCGTTGGTACAGGTGACATTACTGTAAATCATATATTTTAAATCTTAATATTATATACTGTGTTGGGGTGGGGGTGGGGGCAGCCTAAAGGAATCAAAGGATTTGTTGACTGGACGAGGGTTCGTGGATTTGCTTGTCACGTGATTATAGAATGCCATCTGGTCGATTTGTCTTCCAAAGGTCTTCAATGAAGCTGATTCACAAACCATCAGGCAGAACTTTACAACCGGTAAAGTATGTGCAGACATTGGTAATCCTTGCACTGATGGTGGATTCCAGTCACATCACATCACATTTGTGAAGTTTTCCAACACATTCTAAAAGTATTTCCTGACTTTCTCCGGAAGATTCCTTTGAATTCTGCTAGAAGGTTCGAACCAGAAGACTTAAACACATTCCCGGAAGTTTTATCCGGCTTCACCTAGAACTTTTTTTGGAAGTTTTTTTTTATAAATTTAGTGATAGTTCTATATTGTAGAGTAAATATCCGTGGAATGGTTTACCACCCGATGTTATCTATTCTAAGTGAAAATGTATGCTTAGAACACGATCTGTCAAAATCAAAAAGTTAGCCTTTTCGCGGAAAATTAGTCTTATTTTCTAGGAATCAGGAAACGTGATTTTTCGTAAATTTCTCTGGAATAGTTTCCCGGAATGTTCCGTGTAGAAAGCGCTATGCACATGAGATATATTTTACAACGGAATTAAAGACGAATGCATATGCAAGATGGAGGGGCACCGATTGAATTTCTACCCTAGCGGAAACAGTCAGAATAGCAATTTCAGGGTGAGGAAATTGCAATTTTTTTCCTTGATTTGTTTTCCAATGCTACCGATGCCAAGGAGGCTGATCCCACACCTGGACCCTACCTATCGACCCATCAACTCATGAACCGGGGACCAACGCCTTAACTTCCCTTCTGAAGGACGGCGTGATAAGAGATTGTACGCCTCAGAAAATCCCAAAGGCGCCGACTGGGGTGAGAGGCAATCACGCTTACCACTGAACCACCGGCGCCGCTGAAATTGCAATGATATGGTTAAACAAGCTTCGAAGTAATGAAAATTTATATTTAGAGGATTAATCGTTGTTCGTGTATGACAACTTGATCGCATTAATTCACAAGTCTGCAAAAGAACATGTCATGTTATGAAAATAAGTTCTTCTAGATTAACACATCGCTATGAATCATAGTAACGTTCCGGTTATTGCTTGAACCGATTACCAGGCCCATGCCATGTTTAAAATGAGATCTTTTGAAAAGTTGGATGGTTTTACTAACCTAGAAAGTTGGGTGGTTTGCTCAACGACTGAAAAATCAGGGAATATCAGGGAATTTATTTTTCTTCACTGATTCGACACCCTGATAAACTACCTCCGTTTTGTTGAAGTATCCGAACAAAATGATTACATATCTCGAACAACAATTGAAAAGAGCCCATCAGCTTTTTTAAACAAAACTTTGTAAGCTCTTTCCTCGCAAAGCGTATGCCGTATTGATTTGCGTGGGTGGCCTTCGGTTTTCAAGAAAATGGCTTGCACAACATTTTGTTAAGGTGATACTCTAAGGAAGCCTTAGCGTGAAACTTCAAAGGCACAAATGTAGCTTCCACAAAACATCTTCTTCTTCTTATTCGCAGGGAAGTCGAGAAAATTTCCAACCCAAAAGATTCCCTCGACCGGATCGGGAATCGAACCCGCTGCCTCCGGCTTGGTAACATCGTGCCTTTACTGACTAAGCTATAAGGCCCCTACAAAACATACAAATTTGAAATTGCTACTCTCTGTTTGTAGTAGCACAGCAAACAAGGAGTAACAATTTTAAATTTGTATGTTTTGTGGAAGCTGACATTTGTGCCTTTAAAGTTTCACGCTAAGGCTTCCTTAGAGTATCACCTTCCAAAGCTACTAGGCCCTTTTAAAATATATCTCTATAACACGAACTTGAATCTGAAATTCTGAGCTTAATCGAGTATACTGAACCAGTTATATGCACGAAAGAGTGAATGCGTGTTATTCCTCTGTTTGTAGACAAAGTGCGCAATATTTTTTTATATTTTTTCTTGAAAATTTAGGCTTTTTTTAGTTTTTGAGTTATATTTTTTTGAACTTATCAAGTTTTGGGTTTTCGCTCAATACTCCTATACAACTGTTTACAAACCATAAAAACAAATTTAATCAATGTTTTGCAATACAAAATCCCAATGTTTACGGTTTTTATATTTTTTCTAAAAAGTATTTAAACTACCTGTCATTTGATATTTTGATCTTTAAAATCGGACCAAACTGATTTAAAAAAAAAGATTTTTGAAAAAAAAAATGTGTCACCCTAATAACAAAATAAAAAAAAATACTGGTCTAAAATTTTACTATAAAGAAGAAAAAAAACTACCAATTTTAACGAAATTCTGAGAAGCACTATATCTTTTTGCTATGGAATGGCTGATAGTTAGACATATTTTAAAAATGTATGTATTTACACCAACAATTGTGATTTTTTTTAAGGTTGTAATTCGATTACCTATGGCATGAAACGGATAATGTGATTCGAATTAAGTCGATAGGTTTTATCGTTATCGAGAAATCGTTACAAACGTACCGTGTACATTATGACTCAGCGGCACCAACTGTATCTTGTAGAGCAGTTAAAAATCAAAAAATCCAAATTAAAAACCGCTCTAAACTCTGACATTTTCTACGCGTGTAGCAGTAGTTGTGATGCATTCAAAAGCTTACCAATACATATTTACATAACATGAAGCAGCTACGAACAATTCTGGGTAGTCAGAATACCTGAATTAGAATACTTAAATGTCGATTTTTGTCTATGGGTACTTTGCGTTGCTTCGAGTCAATTTAATTACTATCTGTTTTCCGGCTGTCTCCAAAAACACCCCAAAGTCTTCATGATATGTTTTTCAACAGCGTGTCAATCTAAGCTGAACATTCAACTCCGTTTAAAGAATTTAATCCAAATCTTACAACTGGAACACCGCGACCGCTGATCACTAAAAGTGTTTAGTGTTACCGATGTATGTATGTGTGCCAATCGCGTATTCATGTTGGGAACCGACCGCTCTATTGTTTGGAGGAAAAAAGCTTCCACCATAACAGACCCCTTCCGAAGCGATCCATCCATCCATCCAGCCTGTCAGCCAGCTCCATCAGCCATCGGCCGTAAAGTTTTGCTTACTCTTCTATATTCTGCCGCCCGTCTCTGGCGTGCTGTGCAGCAGTGGTGGGGGGTGACTCACTCAAACTCAATGAACACGTATAAGAGACCCGCCGAAGAATAGTGTGCGAGCGCGGGGGATCCAATGTAGATCTTCCATGGCTCACCCCCACCCTAAACCAATCGGCTTGAAAGCAACATCTTGTAATGTTTTCACTAAACGAAGGAATTATGTTCCTGTAGGGTTCAACAATTCATGCATACAGAGCGATATGTCTCACGATCCGGCCAAGAGTCCCGGAGTGTGAAGCTTTTTGTGGTGTACGATTATTCAATCAGCTGGTATTTTTCCTTTTTTTCTGGTACGGCACAAGTTGGTGATCCCTGCTTCTCCGGCCGCGAGTTGCAGTGTAGTGTAGAAAACACAACCAACCGAGAAATCGCGAGTGGTTTCAGAAAAAAAGAAGAAACAGTGAAGCCAACAACTACTTTTTTTCGGTGCGAATTGAAAGTGGATCAAAAGTAGCTCCAGCAGTAATCAAAAGCATAGTGCTGAGAGGTGGTGGTGCTGGTGGTAGCGCCAAAAGCAAAGCAAAAGTGAAGAAAATATCGACTGGAGAAATTGGCTCTCTGGTGTGTGCTGTGTTGCTGTACGAGCGAGCGGAAAACTGTCTGCGATCCCTGTGTTTTGCTGAGCATCCACACCGTACAATTTAACCGAATTAATGACTCCCGGGAAGCTGATGAACGAAACCTTGATCCGGAACTGACAGATAGAGGGAAACACAACTCAACCACGCACCAAAAGGTAGGTTTACTTTTAATTGATTTCCAATCGCCACACTACGTCAGCTCGTGCGGTCAGAGACTAGTGCACGTTCACTTTCGTAGAGGGGCAGCTTTAATTAAAGCCGGTTCGGGCAAAGTTGAACCCTGCTATTTACTATGTAATCGAAATCGACGAATTGTACGCCTGGTACGTGTGGAACCTATCCAAATCGCGTTCCGACTTCCACAACATAATTGAGGCTCGTTTTTTTTGGGGGGAAAACTGGTTACCATCCACTTTATGTAATTGTTGGAACATGGTCCACTTTCGAATGGTGCAAATTTTCAGTGCATCGGCGAAAAAAGTGGTATACAGAAACTGTGCCGGCTACAAAACTACATGTGCGTCTCACCGTTCAACGTGTGCAAAATTGAACTCATTAACTTTCACTTGAAATTTTCGGTTATGTTTTTATTGTTCTTGGTGACAATAACATTCACTAACAGTGCCTATTTTTTGTCGGTTTTGAAACACAGGGAAATGCCCAAGAAGTAAAAGTTGCCATTGTAGTGACTCATCTCTGATCTCGATATAGGTACGTGTGCTGTATTCTAATGTGAGGATCGACGTACCGGCATAATATTATGAAGCTTTGTGCGGTCCTCAGCTTGTAAGGGAAAGTGTAGTAAGATGGTCATATGCACTCTTAGATTTTTTGCCGAGATGGGCACCACCGAGCAGCTCGGCATTTTATTTTGCTGGATCTCAGTGAGAAACTTGCCGATATTCAGCTAACAAATGGGAATTTTGCCGAGATCTCACTGAGTTTTTCACTGAGATCCAGCAAAATAAAAGGCCGAGCTGCTCGGTGTTTAATTTGCTTGATTTATTGCAGTTTAATGTTTTGATTTATCGCAGAAGATGATTTTGAATTCCCTCAAAAGTTTCTTCCAAATTATCTGGACGATTTTTTTCTTTAATTTATTCATTTGTTACAACAATTCAGGAGTTTATTTTTACTACCTCCGAAAGTATTTTTCTTAGGGATGGTCCATTAATTATGTCACGCAAATTTGGCCCATTTTCAACCCCCCCTCCCCCCTTTGTCACATTTTTTGTATGAACCTTAATTTTTTTTTGTATAGCTCGTCACAGTTTTCAAATCCCCCTCCCCCCTAAATGTGTGAAGTAATTAATGGACGACCCCTTTTTTCCTTTAAAAGATTCTTCAGACAATCCCGGGAAGTTTTTTTTTCAAGTTTCTCCGGAAGATTCTTCCAACTTATCCTAAAAGTTTTGTTTCGTGTTCCCCTGAAAATGCCTTAAGACTACTTCCGGAATTTTGTTCAGAATTTACTTGGAATTTACCCAGCAACAGCTTTTGCAATTTTAATAGGATGCTTTTCACGGTTCCTCTGGAGGCTTCTGATTTGTACCGTATCTTCTCTTAGAAGTTTATTCCGGTTTTTCCCAGAAGTGCTTCTGACTTCCTTCGAAAGTTTCTATCGACATCATTTGAAATTTTTTCCGGACTTGCTCTGAAAGTTACATACGATTTCTTCTGGAAGCTTCTCCCGAGTTTTCAAGAAGTTCTTTTGACTTGCCTTGGAAAAGTCTGCCGACTTCGTCTGGAAGCTTCTCTAAACTTTCTGTGGAAGGTTTGCCATGGACTTGTCATGGATTTTTTTTCTGAATTTTCCTGACTTTTAATGTCCCGACAGAGACTGAAAAGACAGAGCTTCCCTTGAATTATGAAAAGTGATTTTTGGTCATCCTATTCCAAATTCAGATGTAAAGTGAATGGGCTTAAAAGATAATATTGAAAATCTAAACATTTTCAGGCTTTTAATTTTATGATCTCAATTTTAAATAAAAATAACAATGCAATTCTATTCACAATCCCCATTATATGAATTCCAGAAATAAATTTGAATTCTCTTTGAAATTTCCTTGAAATCCCTTCTAAGAATTTAATTGAAACCCTTCTTTTAATTTCCTTGAACCTATTCTAAGATTCCCTTGAAATTCTTCTAAAAGTTTGCTTTTAAAACTAGTCAAAACTCTTAGTATAAATCTTTTGAAATTTTCTTCAACAATTCCTTGGAGTATTTTTAAGAATTTCTTTCGAATTCACAGCCATTTTTTGAAATCAATTCTATTTGACTTCTCTTATGAATCCTCCGCACTATTTCTTTGAAATTATCCTCAGTACACTATAACATTATGTTCATTGTTGAATTATCATCATACCGTTCTGATCCATATTTCGGACACTTTATAATTATGTCTTGAAATACCTATACACCTATATGATATAAATATTTAAAATATATTACGCCTGTTCCTCTCTCCTCTTGGCTAGTTTTTGCACCTTGTTGCTGGTGGGCGGGCTTAACTTCATGCTTTATAGTGGAGTGTTGAAGACGGTAGGTTTATGGACGGTGTTGCTGGCTCATGCCGCGATAAAATGGCGCCATGAGCAGGCGATGGGGATTACTAAGCTTCCCCTCTCTGATGAACCACTGCATGAAAGAACCAACGATCTAGTCTAGCAGTGATAGTATCACACTTGTTACTCCTTTGTTTGAGAGTCGCGTTATAGTACGCTTACGTATAGGCACTGACGTTGGGTGCGATACTGGCGGATTTTTCCGCAAATCACTCTTATTTTATTTATTTTTACACAGATAGATTTATTTGGGTTTGCAAGGGAATTATACTATTGAAATATTTCATAAAGTGCTCAACAGTGCTCCTTCTATTTGCGTGACAAGCTTTCAGAATTAGGATGCGGGGGGTCCGCTTAGGGAAGCAACTAACTTTTAAAGTTGTAGAATAAATCTTCATATTTAGCCTTGAGCTTCAAAATGAAAACGCAAGCAGACCAATGGCATTAAGCAGATTAACAATAAAGGAATAGTTTAGAAAATAAGCCAAATCAGATGTACACTGGAGTCGCTTTTTACGCGGTTTTTTTTACACGGTTTTTTTTACGCGGTTTTTTTTTACGCGGATTTCGGAATTTACGCGGTTTTTTTTTACGCGGATTCCGGAATTTACGCGGTTTTTTTTTACGCGGATTTTGGTTTTTTTTTACGCGGATTTCAGAATTTACGCGGTATATCGCTTTTTACGCGGTTTTTTCTTACACGGTCTTTTTTTACTCGGTTTTTTTTTACGCGGATTTCGGAATTTACGCGGTTTTTTTTTACGCGGATTCCGGAATTTACGCGGTTTTTTTTACGCGGTTTTTTTTTTACGCGGGACATATCACTCGCGTAAAAAGCGACTCCAGTGTATTTGACAATTAATAACTTTTAATCTTTTGTAGGCAGTGGCGTCGCCCTAACCTCAATCTACCTGTTCAACAACTTTCAAAACGTAAACAAACAAAACAATATTGGTTTCAATTGATACAAATCAGTGAAACTAGAAGACCCTATGCTTTTTGAAACTGATTTGAAGGTAAACATGACCCTAAATAACTTTTTCAAAGTTGTTGAACAGTTGAATTTATTGTACTCGATTACTATATTATTCTCTCAATACGCGATCAATAGAGATTTCTGATATATGCGGTTAAAGCATTTGCATTTCTATATGCCCTTTAGAATTTGGAAAGTAGTCTTCCTGAATTTTCATGGGTACCACCTCATAGTCTACTCTTGACTGACCACAAATAAATAAATAAATTGCATGGGAATTTTAGCCGGAATTCCCTTGAAGTGCTCCTCAAAATAGCGTTGAGAGAATTTCTTTAGAATGCAACTTCGAAGTTTTTGGATATAATGTTTAAAATTTCCGCTATTGACCCCGCCAGAAATTCTTTGAAACTATCTTAAAACCAGCTTGAAATTCTGCAAACAAATGTTTGTTTTAATTATACACAGAATAAAGTTCTTTTGAAATTATTGATGAGGCATGGTAGCTCAGTGGTTACCGTTTCTGCTTACTGAGCAGAAGGTCGGGAGTTCAATCCCAGGCCCGTCCCTTTCCATGCCATTTTTCATTTTGCCTTATTCTATCCCCACTAGATTTAAATGAAAACGAATACTGCTTTAATCAACCGATCGCATCACTTACCACAGTGAATCCTGATCTAGAAATAACCCACCTCACTATTACAAGTATATCCTCTCCGTGAAAGCCGTGAAGATGCAGAGGTGTATTCGGACTCTAGACTTCAGTAAAGTATTTGACCGAATCGATATACAATATTACTCTTTAAATTGCAAAACAAATAGGATTGGAATCTAGACCTCTGAATTGGCTCCAACGCAACGCAAACAAATAGTTCGTTTTCATAGTTCGTGCCCCAGAGTTCTCATTTAGGCCCAATTCTTTTTTATTTGGTACGTAAACGACATTTCCTACATATGTACTTAAAAAAATAAAAGTTCTTATATATGCAGACGACATAAAGCTCTTCATGGAAATAAGTAATTCTAGCGACACAGAAGAATTCCAGAATGAAATCAACTTATTTAACACTTGATGTAGTAAAAGTCTACTCCAACTCAATGTAAAAAAAAATGCACCGCGTTTCCTCTTCCATCATATGAAGCACGCTGCATGCTCATCAACTTACAAACACTCAAAGAACGCCGCAAATTTGCAATGCTTTTCTTCATCAGAAATACGTTCACAATTAAACTTCTACACACCCTGTCGGCATCTAAGAACACGAAAATTATTTTTAAAAAAAATCACACAGAACAAATTACGCAAAAAATGGCCCCTTCAGTCGAATGATGCGACAGTATAATCTACACAGTGAAGTCATTAGCATCACTATGTCAAAAGAAGAAATTAAAACCCGACTAAAACATAATAGAAATAATGCATAGGATGTAAGTAAAACATTGGAACCATCGTATGTAGTCTACTTTTGCTTGACGAAATAAATAAATAAGTAACAACGGACGTCGAACTAATCATCCTTCCTTCCCCAAAAAACCGTGATGACGTGGCCAACGCTGTGATTGATCTATAAATATGTTGAATTAGTGTGCTTGTACATTGAAGATGAAAATCTAATC